CATCCCCTGAGGGCTCCCGGGCTGCCAGAGGGATGACTGACTGCCAGCTTAGGCCCAATCCCCCAAGGAACGGGCCTAAGCCAGCAGGTGGTTATCCCCCGAGGGGTCCCAGACTTAGATAGGGCACAGGCCGGGCTGAGGGACCCCCCCCGCCAGTGCACAAATTTTTGTGCACTGGGCCTCTAGTCTATATATAAAAGCCTAAGCGACCAGAATGACCGATCGTTATGATGCACACTGACCACCAGGGAGCAGACACTCAATGCAGGAGCTGCCCCCTGGTGGTCAGTGCACTCCCACAGCCAACCTCCCCCGGCCAGCCTACCTCCCGCAGTCCCTCCCTCCTGGCCATCCAACCTCCCACAGTCCTTTCCCCCAGTCTCTGGGCTGGGACGGGGAACTGGGGGTGGATGGCAGAAGATGCGACCGCTTTCCATGGGGGGGCCAAGGGCCAGCTCCCTCCTTAGGGATGGCAGCCAACCTCCCATGCTCTCCCTCTTCCTGGCTGATAGGCCCTTGGCTTGCTGCCCACCTGCTGCGGTGGCGGGGGGGGGGGGGGAAGGGAAAGAGGGAGAGGGAACTGGATAGAGGAGGGGCACTGACAATAGAGGTGGCAATATTTGGGATCCATTCCATCCATGCACGGCCCGGCGATTATCGCCTCCTCTTCCGGCCCTGCCAAGAACTTTGGGCCCTCTGAGCCCAGCCCTAATCAACCTGGCCCCGATTGGCGCTGATTGCTGGCCAGGCTCTTAGGACCCCCACCCATGGACAAATTTTGTGCACTGGGCCTCTAGTAAAATATAAGATGCTGTCTTAGGTTAAATGTGTTATGTTAAAAATCTCTCATTCTTTACCAGTTATACATTGCAAATATTTTTCCAGACTCTTTTCTTTAACATTCAAAGTATCTATTATATATAGTGCTTTAAAATGATATAACTTTTTTTTTGTTCAAAAGATGAAGAAATGAATTGATGGTTGAATGTGAATTAAATCCATAGCAAAAGTTACAAAGTTCTGTTCACCCTGGGAGAAGGAAATGATTTGTTGGATTGTGACATTAAAAAACAAAATTTAACCCAGTAAATCTGAAGACCTAATTGGCTTTATTAAGTGATTCATGAATCAATTGGAAGGGAGCTATAAGAGGTTGTACAAAATAGAAGGTTTTTGTAAGAAGAAGGATGGGGCAAGGTAGCTATTAAGAAAGAAAAGAAGGATTATTTTGAAGCCAGGACATCTTTTTCTTTGGGGAAGAGAACAGGAAGGATTTTTATCATGCAGATAGTCTCTTATTTGTATGGGGGGCAGGCGGGCAGCACATGACTGTTTATGGGTACTTGACCAGAAAATTACAGATGGGTTGATTAAGGTTATGATTCTGGGAGAATCAAATCTGCAATTAGATCAGGTATTAAATCTGAGTTTGGTATCATTTGCTTTTAGCACAAGGATGCTATTTGGGGCCTGTGTTTTTCTTTCTAGCAGTGATTATTTGTTTCCAAGTATTAGGAGTACAAGCAGTATCTTAGGCCAAAAGTTTTATCCATTAACTTGAATTTTCTATTCATACATAGCAAAATAGATTGAAGGCTTCTAAAGGCTTTAGGTAAAATGATGGTGATGATAATGTTGGTTGTGGTAGTGGTATTGATGATAATAATAGTAATAACAATAATAGTGCCAAATAATAAGAGAATATGGTTACATCATTTCTTTCTAATTTTCCATAAATAGATAACTATGAAAAAAAATCTAGTCATGTCTGGCAGTGTTTATCACATAATTCCACTTTGCTTTAAGTGACTAGAATGAGGTAGAAGAAAATATCATCGGGTTTGACAATTATCAAATTATTAAAAACAGTTTCAGGGAAGCACTGGAGAAGGATATGATGCAAGAATTAGTTTTCCTTCATAAGACTTTTAAACTAAACTGAGGGATTTGAAGAAATATTAAGATAATAGTTAGCATTTAGACTAAACTCTTTATTTTGATAAGAGTCCCGCATTAATCTGGGTGAGAAAGGAAGCACATTCATTTAGGAAGAGTTAAATAATTAAGCACATTGAGAATCCACTTATAATCAATATACATTGTTATTCAAATTTTGCTCATGTTGATAGGCAGCCTAATGGGATGTGGAAAAAGCGGGGCATGAATTGATCTAGTGCCTGACATTGGCAAATATGTAGGTTTGGAACATGTTAGAAGTAACTACTGGGCTTGTAAGGGTCTGATTTAAGTATTTAATTATGGGCATGAAGGAAAGTGAAGCTAATAAGGACCAAGTGGGTCCTTCCTCATCAGGACAGGGGGCTCTTCTTCCTCTGATCTCTCCACTGTGAACAGGATCTCATCCTCTCTTGCCAACTCAACATTGGTTCCTACTTTTGTCCCCTCTTTTCAACATCATCTGTTTTACTCCCTCTCTCCTGGATCATCATCCTCAGTAGCATGCAAAATCTAGGCAATATCTTCCTCCTTAAAAGAAAAAGAAAAAGAAAGTTCCTTGTACTCACATCCCTCTCTAAGTTACTGCCCCATTTCTGTCCTTCAGATTTGAGTTTCCGTGCTATCTTTACTTCTATGACTAAAGTTAAACAAAAGATGATGTCTTATTTTCAAATAATTTATTTAGTCCAGGTTTTCAAATATAGCTGATAAGGAAGGACCTCTTATCTACAACTATGTATTTTTAGGAACTGAAAATGTTTTCTTTTCTCTTCATAATAGTATGGCAGCTAAAGTAATCCAGGCATACTGGCGTGGTTACATTGTGCGCAGACGGATTCATTTATCTACAAAACTGCATACTGCTTCATCAGGACTCCTGAGATCCCGGCCAGAGTCCGGCATCAAAAATCAAACTATTTTAAAGGAAGAAAAAATACAAAACACTGGGAATATCCAAGAACAGATGGAAAAGGCTGCAATTGTTATTCAGGTTAGTATCAATCTTTTGGTGAAATAATCAGAAGGGATGCATTGGTCATCTTTCACTGGGTTATTCTATACTAAGGGCCCATTGCACGAATTTGTGCACCTTGAAAGGAACTGTGGGCTGCGAGGCTGCGGAGGGCACAGGGGCGGGTCTTGGCCCATCCTCTGCACTCCTGCCCAGCCCCTCCCGTTGTGGCCCTTAGTCCCCTGCCTGCCGGCAGCCCGCTCCCACTGCTGCTGCTCCCATGTTCTGATGTTGTTGGCCCCGCTCGCATCTGCTGATGGCATAGAGCGATTGGGGCCAACGTCAGGCACTGGCAGCAGGTGCAAGCGCTGGTCAGGACCGCGGTGAGTGGTAGCAAAGAATTAGGACCGCGGTGAGTGGGAGCAAAGAATTTTTAGTAACTACCAGAGGCTCGCTCTGATGACAGTGACCAGTGCCCTGCCTTGGTCTGGCACCCCTGCTCACCTGCTCCACCAACCCGCCACGGCTGATGCCCGCCATGTTTCGTGCTCTGCCGTCTGCTGCTGACAACTGCTATGTTCCATGCATGCCCCCTGGTGGTCAACACACATTATAGTGACTAGTTGTTCGGTTGTTCGGTTGTTTCTCCATTTGGTCTATTTGCATATTAGGGTTTTATATATATAGACTAGAGGCCTGGTGCACGAAATTTGTGCATGGGTGGGGGCGTCCCTCAGCCCGAGCTGCACCCTCTTGCAATCTGGGACCCCTTGGGGGATGTCTGACTGCTGGTTTAGGCCCGATTGGTTGGTGGGATCGGGCCTAAACCGGTAGTTCGACATCCCTCTCTCAATCTGGGACCACTGGCTCCTAACCACTCACCTGTCTGCCTGATCAGCCCTAATCCCTCTGCCTGCTTGCCTCATCACCCCTAACTATTTGCCTGCCTGCCTGATCGCCCCTAACACCTCTGCCTGCCTGCCTGATTGCCCCTAACCATTCACCTATCTGCCTGATCACCCCTAACCACTCTGCCTGCCTGCCTGATTGCCCCTAACTGGTCGCCTGCCTGCCTGATTGCCCCTAACCACCTCTGCCTTGGCCCCCGCTACCACAGCTGATGTCTGGAAGGTCGTTCAGCTGTCCAGTCTAATAAGCATATTACACTTTTATTATTATAGATAGCAGGCAACTCTCAAATCTTAGTGATTTTCAAATACTGGATTTATTTGTTATTCATGTTAATGGAGGGGAAAGGTCCTCATCTCCCCTGGTTTCTAGTGGGGGTGGATTTCTTGCAATATATCGAGAAAAATAATTTTTATGAGACTCACACTGGGGAATGAATAAAGTAGAAAGCTTTATTTTTGTACAATATCATGTCATCTGTGAATAGTGACAGTTTTACTCTGCTTTTCCAATTTAGATGCCTTTTATTTCTTCTTCTTGTCTGATGGCTATGGCTAGCACTTCCAGTACTATGTCAAACAGGAGTGGGGAAAGTTGGTATCCCTGTCTTGTTCCTATTCTTAGAGGAAATAGTTTTAGTTTTTGCCCATTGAGTATGATGGTGGCTGTCAGTTTGTCATATAAGGTCTTTATTATGTTGAGATATGATCCCTCTATTCCCACTTTGCTGAGAGTTATCAAGAAAGTGTTGGATTTTGTCAAATGCTTTTTCTACATCAATTGATATGATTATGTGATTTTTGTCTCTCAATTTGTTTATGTGATGTATCACGTTTATTGATTTGTGGATATGGTACCATCCTTGCATCCCCAGAATAAATCCCACTTGGTCATGGTGTATGATCTTTCTAATGGAATGCTGGATTTGATTTGCTAGAATTTTGTTAAGGATTTTAGCATCTATGTTCATCAGAGATATTGAACTGTAATTCTCTTTCTTTGTAATGCCTTTACTGGTATCTGGGTTTGGGATTAAGGTGATGCTGGCTTCATAGAAAGAGTTTGGAAGTGTTCCTTCCTCTTGAAGTTTTTGGAGTAGTCTGAGGAGGATCAGTGTTAGTTCTTTGAATTTTTGGTAAAACTCCCCTGTGAAACTGTCTGGCCCAGAGCTTTTGTTTGCTGGAAGTCTTTTGAAGACTACTCCAATTTCCTCCACATTATTGGCCTATTCAGATTTTTTTATTTTTCCTGAGTTTTGGAAGGTCGTATTTTTCTAGAAATATGTTCATTTCATCTTGGTTGTTCAGCTTGTTGGAGTAGAGTTTTCATAGTACTTTTTTTATAATCCTTTGTATTTCTGTGGGGTCGGTTGTTAATTCACCTCTTTCATTTCTGATTTTGTTTATTTGGGTCCTCTCTTTTTGTTTCTTGGTGAGCCTGGCAGAGGTTCATCAATCTTGTTTATTCTTTCAAAGAACCAGCTCTCAGTTCTAATGATCTTTTGTATTTTTTTTTAATCTCTATGTCATTTATTTCTACACTGATATTTATTATTGCTTTCCTTGTACTTACTCTGGGCTTTTATTCTTCTCTTTCTAGTTATTTAAATTGTAGGGTTAGATAACTTATTACCAGTTTTTCTGTTTCTTGAGGTAGATCTGTAGTGCTATGAACTTCCCTCTCAGGACTGCTTTCATTATGTCCCATAGGTTTTGGATTTTTTTTTCATTTTCATTTGTTTCCAGAATGTTTTTTTATTTCTTCTTTGATCTCTTTAATAACCCATTCTTTGTTTAATAGCATACTATTTAGCCACTATGTGTTTGATTGTTTTTTATTGTTTTTAGTGTTGTTAATTTCTAATTTATGCCATTGTGATCTGAGAAGATGCTTGACATTTCAATCTTCTTGAATTTGTGGAGACTTAGCCTATGCCCTATTATGTGGACTATTTTTGAAAATGTTCCATGTGCACTTGAGAAGAATGTATATTCCGCAGCTTTGGGGTAGAGTGTTCTGAAGATGTCAATTAAATCCATCTGATCTAGTGAGTCATTTGGGATCGCTGTTTCTTTTCTGATTATTTGTCCAGATCATTTATCCAGTTATGTCAATGGGGCATTAAAGCTCCCTAATTTGATTGTATTGCTGTTGATCTCTTCCTTGATACCTTCCAGAAGTTTTTTTATGTATTTTAGTGCTCCTGCATTGGGTGAATATATGTTTACCAAAGTTATATCCTCTTGTTGTATCAATCCCTTTAGTATTATGAATTGGCCCTCCTTATCTCTTGTTATGGCCTTCACTTTGAGGTCTATTTTGTCAGATATAAGTATTGCTACCCCAGTTTTTGTGTTTTTTTTCATTTCCATTTTCCTGGAAAAATTTTTTCCATCCCTTCCCTTTCAGTCTTTGTGAGTCCTTTGTTCTGTGGTGGGTCTCTTGTAGACAGCATATATATGGGTCATGTTTTCTTATAAATTCAGTTACTGTGTGTCTTTTGATTGGAGCATTTAGTCCATGTACATTTAAGGTTATTATTGATATGTTCTTTTTTGTTGCCATTTTAATTCTTTATGCCTTGTTCCTTCTTCCCTTTCTATTTTTTTTTCTTTTTACAGCAGTCCCTTTAGCATTTCTTGCTTTTCTGGCTTGGTGGTAGTAAACTCTCTTAGCCGTTTTTTGTCTGTGAAGCTCCTGATTTCACCATCAGTTTTGAATAATAGCCTTCCTGGATAGAGTATTCTTGGATTCAGTCCCTTTCTTTGTAAAACTTTGTATATTTAATTCCATTCCTTTCTGGCCTGATGTGTTTCTTTTGATAAATCAGTTAATAGTCTAATATGGGAGATCCCTTGTAGATAACTTTCTGTCTCTTTCTGGCAGCCTTTAAGATTCTTATTTTGTTGTTGATGTTTGCCAATTTCATTATGATGTGTTGGTGTCAGTCTTTTTGGGTTCATCTTGTCTGAGATTCCTGTGTGCTTCTTAGACTTGTGTGATTCTTTTCTCCCGAAGTTAGGGAAGTTTTCTGTCAATATTTCTTCAAACAGGTTTTCTATTCTTTACTCAGCTTCCTCTCCTTCTATTACCCCTATTATGCAGATGTTTCATTTCATGTTGTCCCAAAGCTCCCTTAGACTCTTCTCCAGCTTTTAAATTTTTGTTTGTTTGTTTTTTTCCAGTTCCTGCTCTACTTGTTTGTTTTCTACATTGTCTTCTAACTGGCTGATTCAGTCCTCAGCTTCTTTTAGTGTACTGTTGAAACCTTCCATTGTGTTCCTTATTGCAGCTATGTCATTCTTCATTTCCTCTTGATTCTCACACATGCTGGTGAATTTCTTGTCCAGCCTTTTGAGCATCCTTATAATCATTACTCTGAATTGTTTCTCTGACAAATTGCTTGCCTCCATTTCATTTATTTCCTTTCCTTGTCATTCCTCCTTTTCTTTTATAGGGGTGTTGTTTCTTTGTCTCAGATTTTTGCTGTTCCTTTGTGATTATTTCTATATATTAAATCAAATTGCTATGCTATCCAGATTTTTTGAATTTTTAATAAGTAGTAGATGTTTTGCGGGACTCAGCAGTGCTGTCTCTCAGGTCTTCTATGCTGGGTGTTCTAGGGATGCACCCTACTTGAGATATTTGGGTTCTTTTGATGAAGTTGCATCTTGAATGTTATTGTCCCACTCATGGATAGAGTCTCCTCTCAGGGTGTCTGGTTATGTGACTCACTCTCTACCATGCCAAGCCAACTGTTGTGGAGGTGCTGACTGAACAGCACAAAATACAACACAACAAGACACGACACAAAAGGAACAGAGCAGGAATGTATATAAGACACTTATAACCCCAATTAAAGTGACCACCCCAGAAAAGAGAATTAGGAGAGAGAAGAGCAAAACAAGTTATTGAGAAAGAAAAAATGGAAAGAGAAAAAAAGAAAAAGGAAAAAAAATATATGGGGAGAAAATACCACAAAACAAACAATTAAACCAAAAAGTGCAAACAAAAAACAACCTGATAAAGGGGGGTAAAATCTGTAGAGGTAGAGCTTAAATACAGAAAATAAGGTTAAGGAATTTGATGAATATGGAAAGGGCCACAGTTTAGTATAGAGGAGGTAAAAAGAGAATGAGTGGATAAGAAGAAAAAATAAAATTAAAAAATAAATAAAAATAAATATTGATTGATTAATTGATTGATTGATTGAGAAGGAGAGTAGAGGAGATAGCAGATAGGCTTGAATTTAGTAAGTAAAACTAATTAACAAATTAGGAGAAGAAAAGAGCAAGAGAGGAGAGGAAAAGAAAAAAATGCCTAGCGAAGAAAGAAAAAAGAGAAGGGGGCGTGGAGTAGGAGTACAGAAGAGGAAATTAGACATATGACTATACCAACAGAGAATACATAGTAATAATACATCAATAAATCAGATAAAGAAGATCAATTTTTAACAAGGGGTAAAAAGAAAGGAAAGAGAAAAACTAAAGCAGGGACAGGAGAAAAAAACCAGGATGAAAAAGGGAGAAGTGAAGAATAAAAACATGCAAAAAATAAATAAAATAAAATGAAATAACAATAAAAAATAAAAATAGAATAAAGAAAAGATAATATTAAAAATATTTTTAAATAAAAGATAAAAAAGTGAAGTGTCATTTGCTTCATCTGAGTTTTAATGCCCCATGAGAGCTGGTTTAGGACCCCACTCTTCTGTCTGCCAGTTCTGGGCTTCCTGTTAGGTACTTAGGTGCTGACCACTGTCAGCCACTGTCTTTGGTGTTTAGTACCATGTTGAAGTTTCAAGCGATCCACCACCCCTCTGTTTGTGTCTGTCTCCACAGGCCTTGGCTGCAAGCAGGCAGGATCAATCTGCCTGCTTTTCCTGTAGCCAACTGTCAATCTTAATCATTCAAGCATCTGTTTATGACAGGGCTTTAGGTGGGGGTGGTGCTGTTTGGCTGTCTGAGAATGAGGTGTTTCTTCCCTGACTCAGAGCTATTCCTCTGCAAGTGGCCCAAAATATTACTCTGGCCTTGGTTGGTCAGAGATCCTTGTATGGAGACCAGTGGGGTTGGCTGGCAACCTGGAGTTTTTATCAGTCTGGTTCCCAGAATAGTGGGGTGGACCCCTCTTCCAACCTAGTCACTGAAGGCTCTTTGAGGCTCTTCAGATCCTTTCTTTCCTTTGTAGCTCAAAATGCAGGCAGGGTATGGCAGGCTGTATTACCTGGCTTGAGGCTACTGGGAGGGGCTGGCTTTTCAGGAGAAAAATAGCTGCTTAGGTTTGCAAGGTTAAGAATGTCCCAATGCAGGATCCTGGCCATATCTCCCTGCCCTGCTTCCCTCCACAGCCTCTCCTTAGGATCTGCAAATCTGTGCCGTTATCCCGGCATGGAAGTCTCAGGTGAGTATTTGCAGTTGAAAAGTCCTATGAACTGGATTTAGTGAATAAAAGCAAAGACAAGAAAGGCAAAACAACCATGAAACCTCTGGTTTCTCTCCAGCTGGCACCATGCTGCTCCAGCCACTTTTCAGGCCGCCTTTCTGGACGCAGCCTTTAGCAGCTCTGGTCTTAGATCTAGATTCCCTGGCTGCCAGCAGCCCTGTGGACTTTCATTCTACAGTGGGATGTTATGTCTGTCCCCAAGGGACATGGCTTTGGTGCAGTGCATCTTCCTCCTCACCCTCTCAGCCCGTCCAGCCCAGATCCTTGTTCCTACTATTCTCCAGGCGTCCTCTGCTCTTCCTTGTTGTGAATTGGCCAAGCTTCTTTTGCTTACAAAAGTAAGCAAAATTTAGCCTTTCTTTGTAACTTAGAACATGTCTCTTTTGTTGTATATCATGGTACTTAAAATCATTAAAGTCATCTCAACTCTATTTTCTCTCGAGTACAATCATCTAGTTTTGAAAACCATTCACCTTAAAATATAAATTCTAGGCTGCCTAATCATCCTGGAGAGCAGAGCATGATACAGTAGAAACATCCTGGGCTTTAGAGCAAAATGAAGATTTCATGAATGATGTGCTGACCACTCTCTGCTTACCAAAACTCCCCTTCTCCTCTTCTCCCTAGCATACAGCCAGTTTCCCTTACGCTTTAGTATGGTCCCTTTCCAGTCAATAGAACATGAGTGAAAGATATTTCTACCACTTCCACGCCTGGCCCATAACACCTCCCACAGACATTCCTCCATATTCTTTCCCCTTTCTTGTTGGCTGAAATGAAGACAGCCTCTGAGGTATCTTTGGAAGCTGTCTGTTGAGATTGTAGTCTGCTAAGCCTGGATATCTCAATCACTCTGTGCCAGCGGTTCTCAACCTGTGGGTCGCGACCCCCTTGGCGGCCAAACGACACTTTCACAGGGGTCGCCTAAGACCATCCTGCATATCAGATATTTACATTACGACTCATAACAGTAGCAACATTACAGTTATGAAGTAGCAATGAAAATAATTTTATGGTTGGGTCACAATATGAGGAACTGTATTTAAAGGGCCAGAAGGTTGAGAACCACTGCTCTTTGCTAAAGTGGTGTCCCATTGTGTTGTATATTCTCTCAGTGTTTGTTATATGGTCAAGAAATAAATAACTTTTTTTCTGAGCTACTATGTATTTTTATTATAGCACTTAGCCTATTCTAACAAAGTACTAGTATGTAAGATACACTTTGAGAAATATATAATGCTCAGTGTAAATATGTAAGAGAATGGAATTCTTGGTATAATGGGCAGTGAAAATAAAAACAACGTAGAATTTCATATTACTGGAATAATAAGAAGCCATAGCACAGTTAGACTAGATATAGTTGTCCAGGCAGGGAATTGACTTGAATGTGTGAAATAAAAATGAATCAATCATAGATGGATTACTTGAAAAATTGAGACCTTGACAGAAACAAATAAGAACCTAAATATTACTTATTCCATACTTATATTACCATTATTTTTCATAAACAAAATAGAGATGTCTGGGGCTTGAATTCCTGATGCAGACTCATGAAGAAGATATCTATATGTCTCACACCAGAAAAACACATGTTATGTATTATAGTCTGGAGCTTTGTAAATGTTCTTTCCCTAATGAGTTAGGCTGGATCCATTGTGAGCCACAGTGAATGAATCTTTGTCATTAAAGACCTGGATTAAACAATTTCCTTTATACCCTCTTTTCTCTGTGTCGGTACCTGACCTTGCTATCTTCTATAGCCAACTCTTTTATAACCAAGCCACCTCTCCCGCCTCATCACTAGATTATTTGAAAAAAAAAAATCAGATCTTATTCCTTTTGTAAATATATAATTATAAATTTCTATAAGATCTATTAGTTTACTGCAGTATATTACTAACCTAAAAACTGCTAATTATTTCTTAATATCAGTCATTGACCAAGTCTTGGCTAATTGTAGAGGTTGTGTTTTGGCTGCTTAGGCTGGTTGCTGCTGAGTTTGTGAGTGACTTCTGCTGTCATATATGGTGTATCTGTTGTCTGTTTATAAATTCTCAATATATGTATTTTTCAGAATAATGATATCAATATATCATTATCATTACCCTTATGGAAAACATATTTAAAGTATCTTTGATAGTTAAATGTGTATTTTGAGTATATATTACTAGGGATATAATTAAATAAATCTATTTTAAAGTCACTTTAAATAACTTCTGTGTGGTTATACCTGCAGTATGAAACATATTTTTATTTTTTTTAGGAATTTCTTTTTTCATATTTATTTGTTTTACAATTATCCTAAGTATGCACACAGTTCCAAAGTCAAATCTAAGCAAGGTATAGTCACAGAAGTCTGGCTTCTATTGCTGTAACTTCCACCCTGTTTTCTGCCTCTATAAGTTAATATTTTTATAACTATTTTATAATATATACTTTTACTTTTTAAATATTAGAAACCACATATACATGTATATTTAAATATATAGGTATATTTAAATATATATTTACATACAATTATTAAACATATTATATTTATACTATTTATGCATCTATTTAAATATATATTTAGATACATTTATTATATATTTATATACAGTCTTCCATAGATAAATGGTAACATGCATTTATCTGTGAAAAATATTTCAAATAGGAAGAGACAAAAACAACCCACTCTGTCTACCTTGTTCTTTATACTTATATCTATAATATATAATATATCTGGGAGCATACTTCCTAGCAGTATATAAAGATATTCATTTTTAAATAAAAAGCTGCAGTGATCTTAGAGTTACAGTTAGGGAAGTTTACCCTACTCCAAGGTTATTGGGGAATCTAAATGGTTTTAGTTCTATTACTTTTACGCTTAGTTTATTTTAAGGAAGAATTAGTTAATTGTTATGGTCCAGGATACTATTTCTCTAATATGGCCATTTATGTATGGTGACATTTTCCTAAATATGTGTTAGTTTATTTTATATATAATCATTTAAAAATTAGCAAAATTAGTTTTCTTTCATATCTCTTTCTTCTTAGTTTAGAATGGGTCCTGGAGGAATTATCAGATAATTGATTGGTTGACCTACATGTGCAGTTGAGGGAGTTTTAAAGATTCTTTTCTGCTGACCACAAGGAAAGTCTCCTGAGATTCAAAACTTTAGACACATGCAGTTGTTTAATTTATCTTGCAGTTTTAAGTGTCACATAAAGTTCAAAAAACAGATTACTGAGCCATTAAACTAAGGTCTAAGATGTTTTATCTTCCTAATGGGATAATACGGAGAATCTGGTTTGGAGTTTGATCTATAACCTTGTATAACATGCTTTAAATTTTTGTTTAGGCGGTTTGGAAGGGCTTTCTTTTGCGAAAGAAACTGACAACAGCTCTAGAGGCTATTAAGAATGAAGAATCTGAAGAAGAATATGAAGAAATAGATTTAGAGGATTTTAAATTTGATGAAGTAAGTAACAACTATAACATAGAAATACTGATCGTACAATATTTTTAGTATACTATTTTGGAGCTAAACTAGTTTCTAAAGTTTATAACCTCTGAACACTGTTATCGTTTTTTAAAATAACACTTGAAAAAGTATTCTTCTAATTTCTTAACATCTTAATTTACCCTACAGTATATAATCATGGTTATAGAATATTGACAAGAGTTCTGGGATACTCTTCAACCAGATTTACACATTGTATCAATTATTCCTTATTAAATATAACTATGAACTTATATATACCCTCTTTAAAAAAACCTTTAATAATTCTTTGTTCCCTAGAAAAATGAATAACCTCCTTAAATTGTTATTCATGTACTCCACAAAAAGGTAGCAAGCTGTACAGACATACTCACCACTTCTCCCCTCTGGCTTCCGTACGTTCCAACAAAGTTGAGTACACTTTTACTCTCAATAGCACTTGCCTTTTACATCCTTAGTTTTGCTCATTCTGTTCCCTCCTCTCTAAATAGTTAACACTGGCATAACCACCAGTCGGATTAAGATAAAGAACATACGGACATGCCCAAAAGACTTCCTCATGCCTTTGTAGTATTCATACCTCCTTTACCATAGATTAGTTTTGCCTATTTTTGAACTTTCTATAACTGGAACCGTACTGTATGTGCTCTTCTTTCGCATGGTATTATGTCTGTGAGAGTCATCTATGTGGTTGAATGCAGCTGTATAAATTCCACTCTTTTGAATATACCACTTGTAATCCATTATTTGAATATACCACTTTCCAAAACTCTATTCTACTATTGAAAGATTAGTTATTGTTGAATTATTTCTAGTATTACCTATTATGGCTAAAGGTGCTATGAACATTCTTTTACATATCTTTTGATATATATATATATATATATATATATATATATATATATATATATTCACATTTCTTTTAGGAATAGAATTTCTGGATCATAGTCTTTACCCATGTTTAGTAGATAGTGCCTAACATTATTCCAAAGTGATTGTATTAATTTGTAGCTCTATAAGCAGAATATGAGAATTTTAGACTAGCCTTATCCTCACCGACAGTTTATATTTTCATGACTTTTTCCCCTATTCCAGTAAGTTTTGTCATGGTATCTTATTGTTTTAATTTGAAATTTTCTCATAATTAATAATGTTGAGTACCTTTTCATATGCTCCCTGGCCATTTAGTTATCCACATTTGTGATATGATCAAGAGTTTGGGTATTTTACAGTTAGGTTGTACACTTTTTTCTTACTGATTTGTAGAAGTTCTTTATATATTCTGAATACTACTCTCCTTTTCTTTGCAAATATCCCTTCTAAATTCTGAAGCTTATTTTTTATTCTCTTACGGTTCGTTTTGATGAAAAGACTGTTTCTAGTTTTAAGTTAAAAACAAAAGTTTTTTAACATATAAGAAATCTTTGCCTACTCCCAGATCATATTATAGAAACTTTATGATCTTAACTTTCAAAATTTAAGTCCATGATTCATCTGGAAGTAATTTTTGTGAGTAGTGTGAGAAAAGGGTCGAGATCCCCTCCCTCCCATACACACACATTTGGTTATCTCATTGACTCAAAACCATTTGTTATACAGACCATACTTTTCAGAATGGATTGCAGTAGAAGCTTTGTTTCAACTCAGGTAACTGTGTGGGGGGGTTCTCTTAATTTTTCTCATTGTTTTATTGTTTATCCTTACATCATTAATTACTATATACTTTATAATAAGTTTTGATATTTAGTCTTATAAAAAGTTCCAATTTTGTTCTTTCTCTTCAAGAAAGTGCTACTACTACTCTATTGACCCTTTTCATTTCTGTACAAATTTTGGAATCATCCTGTGAATTTGCACAAAAAATTAGGATTTTTGTCTTAGGATACAGTGAATCTATAAACCAATGTGGGAGACCTGATATCTTTTAGAATATTACATTTTAAAATCCATGAACACAGAATATTCCACCATATATTTAGGCCAATTAAGGTTTTTGTGCACAATGCTCTTGTAGTGGTCTTGTACATTTTTGGTTAGATTTTTTTTCCCTAGGTAGTTGATGTTTTCTGATATTATATTTATTTTTGCATATTAACCTTATATTTTGCCACTTTGTTGAAATCACTTATTAATTTTGGTAGTTTATCTCTCAAGTCTTTTGAATATTCTGTATACACAATAAGTCATCTCAGAAGAATGACAATTTTATTTCTTTTTTTTCTAATTCTTATGCCTTGAGTTTATTTTTCTTGCCTTGTTGTCCTGACTACTACCTCCAGTAAATTGTTGAATATGAGCAGACATCTTTTTTTAGCTCCTCAAATCAAGGTGAAAGCTTTCAACATACCACCATTAAGTAAAGTACTTGTTAATATAGGTTCTTGAATTGATTAAGGAAGTTACCTTCCATAGCATCTTCTTACCTTTCCAAGAGGTTAATATGTTTATCATGATCATGATCATGATGATTTTATATATGATTTGGATTTTATCAAATACTTTTTATGCATATACCATTGATTTTTTAAACATTAATCCTTGTATTCTAGAATAAACTAATTTATATATAATGTATTATTTGTATGTATTTATTTTTAAAAATATATATTTTTATTGTTCACAGTATTACAGATATCCTCTATCTCCCTTTTGTCCCCCATTCACCCAGCACTGCCCCTCCCAGGCTTTCATCACACTATTGTCTGTGTCCATGGGCTATGAATATAAATATATAAATTCTTTGGTCTATCTCTTCTCGTTCCCCACTCCCCCCCCTTCCCCCCAAGATATGTCAGTTTGTTCCATGCCTTCATGCCTAGGGTCTTATTTTGTTGGTCAATTAATTTTTTTCATCAGATTCCACAAATGAGATCATGCTATATTTCTTTCTCTGATCTGCGTATTTCACTTAGCAGGTCCATCCACACTGTCTCAAAGGGTAAGAGACCCTTCTCTTTTACAGCAGCCTAGTATTCCATTGTGTAGATGTACCACAGCTTTTTATCCACTCATCTCCTGATAGGCACTTGGGCTGTTTCCAAATCCTAGCTATTGTAAATAATGCTGCTATGAATATAGGGGTGATATATCTTTTCTGAATGGTGTTTCATGGTATTTAGGATATATTCCCAGAAGTGGGATCCCTGGGTCAAATGGAAGTTCCATTTTTAATTCTTTGAGGAACCTTCATACTGTTTTCCATAGTGGTTGCACCACTCTGCATTCCCACCAGCAGTGTACTAGGGTTCCCTTCTCCATATCCTCACCATCACTTGTTGTTTGTTGATTTATTCATGATAGCCATTGTGACAGGTGTGAGATGATATCTCATTGTGGTTTTAATTTGAATTTCTCTGATTATTAGTGATGTTGATCATCTTAGGCTCCAGAGAATGTCAGTATCTTTATTATATCAAACAATTAATGTTGACTTCCCCAGAGGGAAACACTAAAAGACTATCTCCATCTTTCAAATCTGTTAGCTATATTAATATCTTTGAAAAGACGGTCCAGAACAAAAGCTGCCATAAATCATGCATAATTGTCAGAGCCCAGTGGAAAATTGTCTCCTAACAATATCTACCCCTTTATTCTACATGGCAAAGTTTCCCATAAGTATGCACTCCTGTGGCCACTCTAAATAATCTGACAGAGGCTAGGACTAAAACCATTTGGTTATCCTCATGATGCAATTAATTAAGGTTACTATTAATAGCCCAGGTGGTTTTACCTTTAAGTTTCTGTATTTACCTTCCCACTAGATTGAGGCTTTAATCCAGGCACAGCTGCTAGTATCAGATATTACAGACTCCTTCTTGGCTTTTGATGAAGAAGTTTCATGCAGTTCTGCCATCTAAAACAACCCTGGCCCGTGAGTTGAGGCTGACTTGAATACTTTCCAGGGCCATAGTGTTGTTTCCTGAAACATTCGAAGGTAATTTGTGAGCAGGACACCTTCCAGGTGGCATTTGTCCAGTCCATGGGATGACTGAGAATGGGGTGGAGAAAACATTCAGAGATTATGTACATGGGAGCTGCAGGATTTTCACTCTATTCCTGCTGTCAGGCTGTCGCCTGTTGTCATGATAGACTAACCAGCAAACTTCAGGGAAATGATTACCAAGTTGTGTTCCACAACCTCCTGAAAAGGGATGGCAGACCCAGCAATAGGTTAAATTTAAGGTGCTTGCAGCAATTTAGGAACATTTTTCTTGTGGATAAAGGCTTCTGGGATAGTTCTGAAGGAAAAAGTTTGCTAATTTCTCTCCCCTATACCTCTCAGAATATAAGGTATTCCCTTCAGTGGTTCTGAGAGGTTGTTTTCCATCTCCTCAAAATTTCAGTTTCCACTTCATTTAGCTATAATTGTATACTACAGTTAGACCTTCCATCTGGCAGGGTGGGGAACTAGAGGAAAGGGTGCATTTTTATAAAACTTAACCATGTAACTTATCCTAAGCGCCCTTTGGCCAGGCCTCGCCATGAAGATATGGCAATAATGCTGGCCTGAGACTTGCTATTGGGGAAAATAATTAAGCATTTTGCACAGGAGTGACCAGGATAGAATCCTGAGCTGTCAAAACCCGCCATGCATTTTTCCTAATTATTACTTAGGAAGTAGCTGTAATGGTTAATCCTTACTGATCCCCAGTTAACTGATCAAACTACTTTTTAAATTGCATGGACAAAAGGAAGTGTGAGTGGGTAGAGTCCCACTATTAGCTCCTTGTTGAGTGGATTTTGTAATAAAACACACACAACTGTCAGACTCCAATGGTCTAGAAAATTGAGAAATTATGAAGACAAGTTTCAAAGGTCACAGTTATATGGCCAAAATCAGCTAATAGATCATCTGAAAAGGTATAAACAAAGGTAAGGTATTGAAGGTGTAATGCGTGTGGTCAATTTTCCAAGAGCAGGCAGAGACAAGGACCCATGGAATGGGACCTCCTCCACCGTAAAACAATTAAGTAAGTTTT